ATCCCTCCAGATCTGGAGTCTCTTTCGGACTAAGGCATTAACTTGATAATTGTAAAAATTTAAAACATTTTAATTACTTTTATTTATCACAACAATATTTTTCATAATGTAAACAGTATGAAGTTTTCAATATTGCGGAAGCTTAACAAATAATAATCACAAAATATAATTTATTTATGTTCTCCAATTCAAAATCATCACATCCATTCCGACAATCTCGCCTCTATCTGCCTCCAGGATCACGTCACATAATTCTTTCTATTTACATGCGTGTAACAAATAAAACATACTACACAATCAACGTTGAAGCTAAGTAAGCATATCTAATGCGTCGAACATCCATATAAAACTGAATCTAAATTCATAATCAAATCATTTGATATCATGCACATAATGTTCAATTCAGATTTTTGTCATTCATGATTTTGACATTGTTCAGTTTATATCAATTCATATTGTTTAATTCAGATATTCATTATTTCGACAATGCTCTTAGGTAGTGTTTGGCAACTAGGATTTCATTTCAACTCATGTATTTCATTTCCAAAATTTGAAATTTTGAATTTCAAATGACAAGGTGAGGCGCATGAATTTAAAATTAAGCTTTGTTATAAAGGAAAAGAATTTGATTCAAATCCAAATTCAAAACTTGTGAGTTTCCCAAACATGGAATTTGAGCCAAATTCGGATTTGAAATCCAAATTCATGTTCCCAAACATACCATTAAATTATTCTTAATCTAAGGCCAGTGATAATAACAATACTCTTAGCTATTCTTAGTATAAGACCAAGTCATAACAACGCTCTTAGCTATTCTTAGTCTAATGCCAAACCCACATTTTTATAATCAGACTCATATCGATTCACAATTTCATTCTTACGATTATTCATTAATTACCATACTTTATTATTTTGTCAGAATAAGATCATTATCGTTATGTAGTCATAATCACTCGGGTCGCCCATTTGATCGTCGTAATCAATATTTATTATAAATGCCATTTCATTATGGGTTATCCATTACAATAACCATTTAATTAGAATATTACCAATGTTTGATCATAGTAAATATTCAATACTAATCATCATAACATTCATAAACAAATAGCGGCCTACCGTCAAGTGTTAACACCTTAGCTTGCCGTCATGCATCGAACAAAGCTTTTGAATCTGTTAAAAACAATATTTTTATTTCCAGAAATCATATTCATATTGATCATAATTGGTTGGTGTCAAAAATAGGATTTAATAGTTCAAATGTCGGATATTCTAGGAAAAATATCGAATATCAAATCAGATGGTACCCTTCACGTAGCATCCCTACCGTCCCAGTGGTAGGTAGGTACCGTTTGGAAAGTACCAAGCTACTATACCGGTGGTAGTGTGTTACTGTGCACCATTCATCGTCTTCTTTCTCGAGTCCATTTTTAGAAATTTTATTTGTAGTCACCAAACTTCAATTAAACTACTCCCTCCGTCCCCATGTATTTGTCCGCATTTGACTTTTAGAACTGTTCATCTAAGCACTTTGACTCATCAAATTCTCTCAATGTGTAAGCCTAAATATAGTCATGTGTGATCTTGTTTGATTTATCTTAACATATAGATTATTAATATATAATTTTTATAATTTTTTAATATACAAATTACAACATAAAATGGATTAAAGAAGTGCATTGGATGGTGTGTAAAAATGAAAGTGGACAAATACAGAGGGACGGAGGGAGTATATGGAAATGTTCTCCAATGCTCATAGATCATTTGGGTATCATTAGTTCATAATTTTAACAACAATTTCAAGATTTTTAATTCTAGTGCGGTGCTTTGACAGAGTTTAAGAGACCGGGACTTAGTGGATTCGGAAATCCTTTAGGAGGAGCCTTGAGGTACTGGAGTAGGGGGTTTCCCGAACCAGTATAAAATCGGTGTGCATTTCATTTAGGCTTTTATTTCTGCGTTTTATATATTGCTTCTGCATTTGCCAACACCGTTTTTATCAAACTTCGAAAAGATTTTAAATGCCTTATTCACCCTCTCTCTAAGGCGTGGGCACAACGACTAATACCGAATAACAAAATCCTGTCATTCAAAAGTGTGATGATGTGAACATGTATGTGGTACTTTCATTCAATTGATAAAGCCAATAGAATCTCCTTTAAGATAATACACACAGTTGTGGAAAATATTTTATTAAAAGAAAAGTCAAATAGATCCTAGATAGATAAGAGTATACATTTTTGCTTCATCTAAAACAAAAAAAAGATGCAAAGAAACTTCTAAGAGTGGATTGTCTACATTTACCACCCATCTTACCCCTAGATAGAGAAGATCATGTTTAGTAGAACAAAACACTGAGCTCCGCCAAAAGATCGAGCACCGTGAGATAAAAAATCGTCCCAGATATAGTTTGAATTAGTACGATCACACTTTTGGCATTTTGATTGGAATATGATCCTATTATCATCAACATATCATAGAGAATCTATACCTCCAACTTAGGAATCTCTGAACACGTACCAATGTTCCACTTGAGGGATCCTAACAAAAAATGCACACACATAGAGATTGTGACATGTTATCCTAAGAGTGATACTAGAGTTACCAATTCTAATTTACATTTTTAAATGTTAGAACTTTACTCCTATAAATTGGGAGTAAAACATAAAAGATTTATTAACACTCTCAAAGTCTTAAAATGTAATTGGTGGATTTGTGAGATAACTTTTCTATCATTTATTATTCAGGGATGACAAATCAACTGCCATTAATAAGTCATATTTAGCACGTATTCATTTTACAATTTCTAAACAAACAATAACAATGGAAAATAAATAACATACAAAACAAAAATATATATTCTATACAATGTAAATAAAACCTAATTAAATTGTTGAATACATAATCAAAATAGCTAGTTCAACAATTTTGATTTTATTTAAATTGTATAGAATATTTGTTTTCATTTTTTATGTTATTTGTTTTCATTGAAATTGTTTGTTTAGGGTTTGTAAAATGAATGAAATCTCTAGGCGGGATTTATCACGCATTGAATACGATTCTTATTCATGGCAGTTGATTTATCATCCTTAAATAATAAATGCTAGAAAAGTTTACAACTCACAAAACCACCAATTATATTTTAGACTCCGACAATGTTAATAAGTCTTTTATATTTTACTCCTAGTTTCTAGGAGTGAAGTTCTAACATTTAAAAATGTTAGAATTAGAATCGGTAACTCAAATATTACCCTGAGAATCATCTGCCAATATCTCGATGTAGGTGCATTTTTGGTCAAGAACCATCAAGGAGAACATTGGTATGTGTTTAGATATTCTTTAAGTTGGAGATAATAATTTTCTATGGTATGTTGATGATAATGGGATAATCAAAATATGATTAAAAAATATGATATAGTAATTTTTTTATGATTTACTCCCTCTATCCCCTATTTTGATTACAATTTTGTTTTTTCTCTCTTGTTGATATTTTTTGTTTGTTCATGAGTTTTCATTGATTATTTGATAAAATTAAATATTCTTGTCACGTCTTGTTCAGTAAAACTTTTGATATAGTTTTTTAACATGTAAGCTTTATTTTTTAATAATGCAATAATTTCTAAATATAATGATTTCAAAAATCATGAAATTTTACATCGTAATCTCTATTATGTAATCAAAATAGGATTAGAGGAGTCAGGAGTATAAAGTAAAATTTAAATTTAAACGGACCATAAACATAAAAAATAAAAGATAACGAGTCCAAAGTTAAAAAATAAAATTTTTTCCAATTCATATAATATCGGAATACTAATAACTATAAAAAATTAATGCCAATAGTAATGATAAATATAATAACAACATTAATAATGAGAGAGTTTAAAAATGAATAATAAAATACGAAGTACTCTATACATGGTAAGGTGAAGTAGACAAATACTACATAATTATTTGAGATACGTACTCCGTATATAGTGTTGGACGGTTCGGTCCGTGATAATCGGTTTTAAATATTTGTATCACGGTCCCGTCCCATTTGGTATCGGTTCGGCTTCGGTTTGTGATGAAAAAATTCAATCCCGTTTGAAAATACTATAAACGGTTCCGTACCATTACGGTCCGGTATGGTACCATGCTAGTTCGGTTTTTTGCCCACCCCTAGAAAGTATTGGTACAAGTCAACCATTCACTCATGAACCATGCTATACTCACACTAAAAGTTGTACCCCATTTATACATCGCAGTTATACACAAACATTTTGATAGTTTATACCGACACAAGTATTGGTGCATTACCAAAAATTTACACAGACACAAAGTTTTGGTCCGTTAACAAAAATTAGTTTTACACGAACACAAAATATCGATACAAACCTGTGATGTACAAATAGGGTACAAAAGTTTGGGATACAAATAGCTTTATACTTCACTCATATTGGTTTGATTCCAAATACGGAGCGTGAAGTACACTTTTAGTCCGGATTGTTTTTACTTAAATAATTCAAAGCTACCCTATAACTGTAACTTCTCTGAGTTAGAGCATCTCCAACCACAATTGCTAAACATGGCTTGCTAAAGTCATTTTTTAGCATGTGAATAGTGGTATAGCAAGCCATTTTGCATTGTCATCTCCAACCTTTCCTTGCTATAATTTAGCTAACAATTATATTATATTGTTTTTACTATTATAATACACTCTTTATAATAATTATTCAATTATTATTTTATATTATAAAAATTTAGTAATAAGTATGTAATTTAAAAATAATAATTTCAAAAAACAATACGGAGTATTATTTTAAATATTTAATAAATACCAATTAAAGAGTAGAGAAAAAAATTTACAAAAACAAAAAATTAGAGAGTAGAAGTAACTTTATATTTTGAGAAGGAGAATGAGAGAAAAGAAGAGAGAAATCATATATTTAATCAATTTCATGATTTGCTATTTTTTGAGAGGCTTGTTATATATAACAAGTCAAAATTAACATTTACCAAGTATGCTATACTATAGCAAGCCCCTTGGAGCACAAAAATTGAAATGGATTGCCAAATAATAACATTTAACAAGCCAAAACTCAATGGTTGGAGATGCTCTTACTACTCCGTAATTTGGGAGTGAGTGAGGCTATTTGATAGGGTCTGGCGTTGGTTTAGACATAAATAGTAAAAGAAAAAGAAAACCAAGTCAGAGAATGGCAGACATCGGCCGCATCTTTCCTCTCCGTTCATCTTCCTTCCCAAAACTACCACTGTGATATCTTCTTCTACGCTCTCCTTCACATTATCACTTTGATTCATGAGATTCCACTCTGCTTCTTGCTTCTATAATCTTATCTTTATTGTTATTACTCTGCGTGTTTTTCTTTTTTACAAATGATATTTTTTTCTCGCCATTATGATCGATCTAGTCTCACATTCTCTGGACTTTGATCAGATCTGATTGATTTGATAGTTTATTTGCTGATTGCGTGCGATTCAATTGTTCCGGATCTATAGATCCGATTCTCGATCTGTTTTCTTAATCATAGCGTTTGTTATGTGATGAGTTATCTTCTTTCAGTTCATGATGAACAGATCGGACCCTGGAATTCGTCCATGTTGATTCTTGCATCTGCTAACTCTTTTTATTCCAATTGTTTGTGAATTTCGAATTGGATTTCAATGATAAATCGTACTTCATACCGCCCCTGTTTTCTGCATCTAATATCTAATGCGTTTAGTTTGAGAGAAGGTCCAAGATTTACGCGTGGATGGACCATAGGTGCGTGGAGTCTCCACTCTGTTGGGAGTACTTTGATATACCTAAAGTCCACCAAAATTTTGTGATGCTTATTACATCAAAATTAGTATTTTTAATATTTTTTAAAATAAAAACAAAATGCTTATCTTAATGTTATGCAAATGCTTATTAGCCTCGTTTGTTGGTGTTTACCTTAAGTCTATGAATATGCCTAGTGCTTTCGTGTTTCTCTCTTTCTATGTGCAGGTGTAAGTGTATCTGGACTTGCTCTCTCATGTATTCCGTATGGGTAATTGTGCGTGAATCTCTTTTTATATACTCCGAATGCTCTGTCTCTACCCACACCCCCCCCTTTAGTTGGATGATCAAATGACGTAAAATTCCAAACCGCCAACTATATAACACACCAATGGCTAATGCAAAGTTTACCTGGAATTAAAACAGAGTTTACTACTTTGAACACCAGAACTCATTTTTTTTCAAACTTTAAAAATTATAAAATTTAATTAAAAAGAATATAGCTACACCAGTCAACCATTGTACGCGGTGACCAAGTAGCAGAGGGTGGCGGTGACCGGTGGCAAGCGGCAGTCAATAGAGGCAGTTAGCGGTCAAAGTCCAGTCAACATTAGTTAAAGTCCACTCCTTTCATTTTTTTTGAAAGAAATGTTGAAAGAAATAGGTGAGCTTTGTAGTTGCTGAACTTTGTAGTTGACAGTGCTGAGTTTTACGTCATTTGATCATTGAGTCATAAGGTGTTGTCTCACTGGAGTCGAACTCGTATATATATAGAGAAGTGTTTACACCATTCCAAATGGTGTAACTCCGTGACACCTATAGTGTTCCTTTCGTAAAATAGATGGTTCCTACCCCTCCTAACTTCCCTCACAAACCCCCACCCCCGACCTCACCCCCTCACGACCGCTTTAGCTTTGCAATTGAAGCACATAAGTTTCTTTGTTATTTGGGTAAAAACTTTGACCGAAAAAGTCAACAAAACTTATGGGGTGCATTGCATAATAACCACACATTTTGTGGGGGGCTTACGGCGGGGTTGGGTTGGGGGTGCAGGGGTGGGGGTGGGCTGGGGGGTTTAGATGGTGGGTTAGGAAGAGTAGGAACCGTCAATTTTACGAATGGAGCACTG